GRAAAAARSCMAAAAAAAATCATACATTAATATAAATATTTTTTTATATAAATATAAATATAAATATAGATATAAATTCTATATAAATGTAAAAGTATAGAACAAAGCATGAAAGTCAGCAAAATTAAATGAATTGCATGAAAAAAACAGAAAATATATATATATATATAAACATAAACATAAACATAAATATAAATATAAATTCTAGACAAATGTAAACATATAGAACAAAGTATGAAGAAGAGAGTTTAGGGTTCGTTTAAAGTAGATAAGAAACATTATTGATATGGTGCACTGCGATGCACCATATCAATTCAAACATTATTGATATGGTGCACTGTTCGTACTGGAATTTCCCTCTATCATTTCCAAAAATTTATAAGTTGAATTAACTGTAAATACCCCCTTTGCGTCGGGTTTCCAAACCATGATATCCTCTTTATCTTGAATGGAAGGAACTTTTTCAAAAATTTTAGTTTTATTCCAATTTATTCCGATGGTCAGTGAACTCACTTACCAATGAATCTTGATTTTCCTCATTACAAATTGTAGTATTCCTAATGGAGTTGTCTCCTACTCAATTATCATCCCAAAACATGATCGATTTCCCATTCCCTATCCCTGATTTTCATGATATCTCTGCATTTCCAGGGCACCTCTCCAAGCCTAGGAAGAATTCTTCGATTTTACCATCCAAAAATTTCTCTCCTCGGGAATTTTTGTTTTACAATTCTCACCCACAAATTATTTGGTTGAGTGAGGATTTTTTAGGGGTGAGCAAAAAAATCAGAAAAATCAAATTGATCGAAAAAATCGATCAAAACTGAATTAAAAAATCGGTTAACCGAATCAGTCAGTTTAGTTTTAGTGCGGTGTTTCAAAAAATCAAAAATATCAATTCAGTTTATAAAATCGGTGGTTAATCAAACCGACCAATATACATATATGCATATATATATATATATATATATATATATATATATATATATATATATATATATATATATATATATATATATATATATATATATATAAATAAATATATATTATATATAAATATATATTTATAATATATGATATATTATTTATTATTTATAATTTTTTATTATGTTTTTATAATATATTATAAAAAAAAAAAAACCAAAAATTCAACGAACCGAACAACCAGTTAATCAATTGACTTCGGTTCGATTTCGGTTAACGATTTTTCAAAAACCTACCGACTCGGTTAAGAAAAGGTTCACGGTTCGGTTCCGGCATTAACCCGCATCAGCATTAATGATATGATATCGAAAAGATATGAACCCCAAAAATGAATACGTGCATTTTGCAAGGCAAAAAGCAATTGTTAGGCAAAATCACATTCACAGCCCCTAGGCCTGAGTTTTGTTTTCCTCATTCTCTTGTTTCTTAGCAAGCAATCCATAGACTATAAGAATTTCAAATCAGCTTCTTGGCCAAGAATCCATTGACATCAGTGTTTCAAAATTCTAATATAATCATTCCAATCTAACGGATATCAGGGGCAGTCTCGCATGATTACGTTGTCCTTTAAATTACTTCCTCTTAGGGGTTAGGGTTTTTATCTTTCGCATAATCCCCATCGTCAACCAGCCTCAGCTCCAGAGCATCGAACGAACGCAATCATGCATTCCGTTTCATCCAAAACATCCTTCTTCTTCCTCCTCCTCCTCCTAATTGCAGCAGCTACCTCCGTCCTCGCCAGAAAACGCCACGTCATCAATTTCCAATCGCCGAATCTCTTCCCCGAAGGCGTCGCATGGGATCCAGCCGCCCAACACTTTGTTGTTGGTTCCTTTAATCACCGCTCCATAAACGCTGTCTCCGACGCCGGCGTCGTTGAATCCCTAATCTCCGACACCGAGCTTCCCCCTAACGTCGCCTTCGTTGGCCTCGCCGTAGACTCCGTCCACCGCCGTCTTCTCGCCACTATCCACGCCATAGAACCTTTCCCCGACTACAACGCTCTCGCCGCCTACGACCTCCGCTCCCGCAAACGTATCTTCCTCGCACCCCTCACTAACCCCGCCTCCTCCGATCGCCAGATCGCTAACGCCGTCGCCGTCGACTATAAGGGCAACGCGTATGTCACCAATTCTGCTGGAAACTTCATCTGGAAGGTCAGCGTGAACGGAGAACCGTCCATCTTCTCCAGATCCCCTTTGTACACCTCTCAACAAGTGGACCGCGATCAGCCCTACAGCTTCTGCGGCCTCAACGGAATTGCTTACCTCAGCAAGGGTTATCTTCTCGTAGTACAGAGCAACACCGGAAAGATGTTCAAGGTGAACGCCGACGACGGGACGGCAAGGCTGGTGTTGCTGAGAAAGGACTTGACGGCAGCGGACGGGATCGCCGTTAGAAGTGACGGCGTTGCGGTGGTGGTTTCGCAGCATAAGGCGTGGTTGCTCAAGAGCGACGACAGTTGGGGAGAAGCCGTGGTGTATGACGAAATTGCCCTTGATGCGGAGAGGTTCCCGACTTCTGTTACGATTAGGGAGGACAATAGGGCGTATGTGATATATGGGCATGTGGACAAGGGCATTTTGGGGGAGGAAAGGGACGAGTTCAGCATACAAGAACTGGAGTGGGCCAAGGAAAGTGAAGAGGAAGCGGTTTGGGTGTTTGTTTTGATTGGGCTGGGCTTGGCTTATTTCATGTACTGGAGATTTCAGATGGGCCAACTTATTAAGAACATGAACAAGAAGACGGATTAAGGTTAATGGTGAGCCCAGCCCACAGAGCCGCAGATTTGAATTTGGATTTGGATGCCCGTCCTCTTTCAATGCACTCATCATCATGATCCTAAGGACCGGCTTAGGTTTGCTCATGACAAGAGAGGATCAAAGCGGATCGGTCTCCAGACCATCCGATGTGAGAAAGCTCAAGGGTCCCACATAAATTAAGCTATGCGATGTTCATCTATGATTGCTGTTATTAAGATCAAAATGTTGTCGCTATAGATTGAATAGTGATGATTTCTAAGGAGTTTTCGCCGATAATTATGATTTTTTCAAACCAAAAAAAAAAAATTTGTCATATCAGCGAAGTTTCCTTTGCATTTCTTTCTTTTTTTTCTTTTTTCTGTTTTTATTTTGTGAAGGATCGAAAATAAAAGTCATCAAGAACACCAGAAATAAGGTTGCTGGTGCCCGTTTGTAAGGGTTTTTACGGAGTGGCTTTGGCGTTATATGAGTTTCTGGAAGTTTTTCTACTGATATATTCATCAGTTCATCCTCATTGAGAAGGTAGAAGATGTAATTAAAATAATACTATTAAGTACATTTAATTACCTCTCAAGTCTTTTATTTAAAGCAATTAAATAAGTCTTATTTTTTCAAACATTTAAGTTAATTTTGTTTCTCATCATTAAATTTCACTAATAAATCTATACACAATAATATTAATAGAATAAAAAATATATATTTTTAAAATAAACTTAGAAATGAAATCATATTTTYCACCTAGGTGGTGGGTAAGTAATTCAACCATTTGAATTAAATGGATAATTCTATGATGTCATAAATAAATAATAAAAACTTAGATATTTAAAAAATAAAAGAAATAAAGAAATTTTGTAGACTTGGAATATACAATTTAAAACTGATGGGAAATGAAACATATTTCTTATCTAGGGGGAAGGTTAATGATTCAACCTTTTAGGTCAAATGGATCAATCAATGTTATATAATTAAAAAATTAAAAAAAATAAAATAGAATGATAAAAAAATTACAAAATAATTTTGGACATATTTATAATATTATATATTGATCATATAAAATAAAAATAAGTGTGATAAAGAAGAATTATTTTAATTAATGATATAAATGAAACACAAAATTCAAGACCAATCTAAAAATGAAATCATTTTTATATCTAGATGGCATGTCAATGATCTAACCTTTCAAGTCAAAGGGATCAATCCATGATGTCATAACTAAGTAATAAGTATTAAAAAAACATAGAAACCCAATGAAAAATATAAGGTTTGTATAAAGCTTTTTGATACATTTCTACTGTTATATATTCAGCATATTGAACAAAAAGAAATGTGAAAATAAGAATTATTTTTATTAATGATGGAAATTGAATACAAAATTTAAAATCAACTAAAAAAGCAAAACGGCTTCTCTATCCAAGTGGTGGGTTTGTGGTTCAATTATCAATGTCAAATGAATCAACACATGATATTATAATTAAATAATAAAATGCATAAAATTCTAGAAAATGTGGAAATTTATAGAAAATTTGGGCACACCATAACATTATATATTCATCATATAAAAAATGTGTGATAAATATGAATTATTTTCATTAATGATGGAAATTAGATAGAAATTAGGAAAAAAAATAGCATTAATGTCTAACACATTATCCCACCAACCATGTCAAATAGTTCAATGATTTAATTAGATAGGTCACCACAAGCATGTGGTTTAGTGGTAATTTGACCTAGAAACCTGAATCGGGCAATGGAATGGTCAATCTAATCAGTTGATTTGACCACAATGTTAAAAACATCATTAAAACAATATAGTGGAATTACATTTCCTCATGGTAAATAAATAATTTTTATTATGTCATAAATTAAATAATAAAAATAAAAATATAGAAATTTTTATAAAATTTATAGAAAATTTTGAGCATGCCATTAATATTATATATTCTTCATATTAAACAAAATACATTTGAAAAAAAAATCAGAATTCTTGTTAGTAAAGATGGAAATTGCTAAAAATACAAAACAAAAATGAATTAATATCTTAACCACGATCCATTGACCTAGTCAAATAGGTTAATGGTTTAACTAGTAAAGTCATTTGGTTGTTAACCAAGTCGGTAATTATTTTGCAAGAAATTGGTTTGGATTAAAACATATTCAAAAAATTTGACCAAGTGACAAACTAATAAATCCAACTGTCTAGTTCAATTGAAAGTTGAAAACATAGATAGAAACTATAAGAACACTTGAAGTTAGGTCTTTGGATTGAAAGAAAACAAATCCATCAATACACCATACTTTGATCATTTTTCTTTGTTATGAGTTTTAATAAAAATACTAAAATATTATTATCATCATCATCTTCTGAAAGTACCATGTGTGTGTGCACATTTACTAGTACTATACAAAGTGAATAGTTTCCTTGTTTTGGTGTAAATCATAAAAATTAAATTTGACTATAATATTAACATACATCTTTAGTTTTATTTACCTGTGCCATCAATCCAGACATTATAAAACCTATTCTCGTAAGAAGGGCAATTGTCATGAAGGAGACTCTTGAAACCTGGACTAACTTGGTTAGGGGCATTTTTTGTCATTTTGATCAATCCCAAGTGGGTCTAGGCTATAGCATCTTGTTCTTCTATTTTAGTAGTGCTTATCTTTCAATTTTTAGCTTATTTTCATTAGTATGTAGAAATTATTGTGCTTCTTGATGCACAAGACAAGGAATGGTATTTTTGTAATTACAATGTAGTATTCTCAGTCACAAAAGCCACTCTATAAATAGATGTAGTGATAATTCCTACATCTATTGAAGCCAATGAATACTTATTTGAATATTGAAGTTCTCTTGCATGGAGTGATGATTCCTACAAACCCTAGAATGACATATGACCCTTGGGGAGATTCCCTGGGATTCCCTTCTCTTCTCTTTCCCTCTCTCTATACTTCTCTCCTTCCACCTTATGTCAATTTATTTCAGCCCTATTGCATCAACATACCATTAATATGACAATATTAATCGGGCCAAGTGGTTACAAGTCTAACCAATCCAAACTATTTTTGTGTTACATGTTGTTAGATAATTTTGTGTTAATTTTTATTCTTATCTTAATATTTACTAGTTTTATTACATTTTATTTGTTTAGTTACTCCTAAATGTAATGCATAGGTTTTGGTAAGCGACATTGAGACAGGAGTCCTAGGGTAGTTGATCCAAGTTGAAACCTATCCATCTTAGCACTATTCTGAAGTTATGTATTGTCTGATAAATTTAATGAAAAAAAAAATCTAGAAGTAATTAGGGAGAGGGGGAATTATTTTTTTATTAAGCTAAATTAAAATTTAATTTTTTTATTGAATTTAATTAAATTATGTTTTCATAAATTTGTAACATTTTTGCTAATTCTATTAATATATTATGTTAACTTTTATTTATAATTTGAAATTTATTTTTTATAAAATTAATTTAACTAATTTTAGAGTAAGTTAATAAAACTAATTTTTCTAAGTTATTTTAATTAATAAGTTATTTGTGTAAAGTAAGTTATTGATTTTTAATTTTGTTGTTACTTTATATTTTTATTATTTTCTTGATAAATATTAATTTTAATTCATTAAAAAAATTTTTTATTTTTAGTGAAAAATTCTCTTATTTTATCAATTAATTAAAAAATAAGTTTCTATTTTTTTTGTTATTTACTATTTTTTTTTCAGAAAATTTCCCTTATTCTATCAATTTTTTTATCTAGTAATAAAAATGTTAATAATTCTTTCTATTATCTTCCCTTATTTTTTATGATTTTTTTGATGTTATAATTAACAAAATTATTTTTAGTCAAAAATTCCCTTATTTTCTCTTTTTGTTTTCAAAAGTGCATAATCATGTTTGTTAGCTCTAGAGAGCTCATGGCCAACTCAAAGAAATAGACTCGCCACCCATTTTTTAGAGGAAATGGGCCCTCATTTTTAGATTCAGAAATCAATTTACTTGCTTTGATAGTGATATCGTTCTTCGCCAGGAAAGGTACCTAAGAGAGAGATTTTGGATCCCAAAGATTGGGAGAGGGAAGGCGTTAAATACCCCTCTCTCTAAGATGGGAGTTGGCTAGGCTCTACATCTAACAAAACACCAACAAAAATGGTTGCTCAGAGCTCCAAAAATCAGGTGAAAACACTCCTAACCATACGTACAATTGATTTGAGGTGATGTTATTAAGTCTTAGGATTGATTTCCTTAGGAACCTCACCTCTCTTCCTCTTTTTCTCAATTTAGATGAAACTGAGAATGCAAGTTTCCCATGGTTTCTGGACCTCAAGCAACCTAAAACTAAGTTGAAAATAGAGATTTACAAGTTCAAACTTAGAAAAAACAATAGAATGAGAGACTTACCTCTCGTGTACAACCTTAATGGGTGTTTTCTAGTTATGGAAATAAGTTCAAAGAAGTTTAAATGAGATACCAGGATGGATGGTGCGCTTTTTTGTTTCAAATCTTGCAACTGAAAATAGAGGGGTAGATTTGAAGTTTGATCTTCAAAGACTTTGGGATTTTAGGTAAAATGAAGACATTACAGAAGTTAGGAAACGCTCGTTTTCTCCTCTTCTTCTCTTTTAGATCCCTCTCTTTCTAGTTTTCTCCCCTCCCCTCCCTTAAGCTTGAGTTGGATCAGTATTTATCGAGAAAGGAAGGGGGAGAGTTCTAAAATTCATCCAATAACAAGGCTTGGGCTTCAAGAAAGCTTTTACAAGAGAATGAGCAAGGATTTTTCAAAGAAAATGGTGATCAATCAACTTTTCCTCTTTGGTGAAAGATTGTTTTCGATTTTGGGGTGATTTTCACAGATTTTATGCATCCAGTGGGAGCTCTAGGCATGCCTGTTATGGCAATCTCGTATTTGGGGCTGTCAATGGTAGAAAATGTAAATTTGATGAATTTTTAAAAGTGGTTTTGTCTTTTCTCAATTTTCAGTAAGGGTATTATTGTGTTTTTTGGGCTTTGTGGGTCTATTAAGCTCAATTTCATTGGTCCAGGTGTTTGAACAAGTTAAGAATGGGTCTAACATCATCCTTATCCCTTTTAAGATTTTAGGTTTGAATGGATGAGGTGACAATTTAATCTAACACGTAGAAATGGTATTTTCCTAGTTTAATAGTCAAACGGGCAAATCTAGCCATGAAATTTGATGTGATGGGGTTTTTTAACTCTTTGAATATAGTGGTGAAGTCTGATTAGCCAAATAGGGTCAGAATGATGGATCTCTATGTCTGACAAA